TACATATGGGATTTAGTCAAACATAAGTTATTGGGCTCCATACAGGAGTAATTGGGTGAAATCCTATGGTCTGTCTTACACAGGTCAGACAAGATGGTCTAATGGTCCCTTCTGGCCATAAGGTCTGTTACTCCTTGGGGAATTCTGTGCCACTGCGCAATGCAAAATTTGTGCAGAAATTAATGTTGTGTGCGGAATTTCCTTTTTCCCGCCCAGAAACGGGCTGCAGAGCTGCTGGACCCAGCATAGCACAGATCGCAAATAGAAGAGACTGCCGGGAGGAGGTGGGTGGAGCAGGGAGGGTTCCATTTCCCAGCATGCCCTGAAGAAAGAAGGTGGCATGCAGGAAATTCCTCACAAACCTGGCACCCAACATCAGGCTGTCTCCCCCTCTGGATCCCTTGGCTGTAGGGGGGGAGAGGATGCGAGTGTCTGGGCTGGTAGGGGGCCATAACTGGCCTCTTGGGAGGTAGTGGAAGCGTTTGTCTGGATGGGGGTGGTGCCCCCACGGCTGGGCTTTGTGGGGAGGGGCAGAGAAACAGGAACTGGTTTGTCGTAGGGATTTCTTAAACTCTCTTCTTGCAGGGAAGTTTTTGTGTGTGTCTGTATTGTTACAGACATACTTGCTGACAGGTATTTTGAAATAAATTCCCAAAATAATTGAAACTGGAGTGATTAGATGCAAGATTGTAAATGATTGTTTTGTTTTTAATATTGGCTTAACAATAAAACAAAATTAATAAATACATATATAAAGTAATAGATACTTTTGATCAATTTTAGAGTGGATAGAAACTAATTTACATTACAATCCCATGTTGGTAGTAAATTAATATCCCTTCTCTTCATTAATATCCCTAAGTGCAGATTTTAATGAGAGAATTTATCAGCCTATCACTGGCAACATATGCAGCATCTTATTGAAAAGTCCAAAAATTGTCTGTTGTGCACATGTATTTTATCCTTTTAGACTCATTATTGTCATCTTTTCTTGTGGTTAAGTCAATCTGTACATTTTTAACATTGTTTCTAAATAATTGACTTGATAGTAGTAGTTCTGCCTTATTTAAATTATGCTGATTTTAATTTTTAACAAGTTGCTACCTCTTATCTGCTCACACAATAGCAGAACATTTTCTGTGCTTACTCATTAGGCGTTCGGTCTTAACATATCTGTGCAATTGTTATCAAAAGGTGCTTTTTCATTATAGCTACCAAGAGATAACTTGTTTTTCTTGGCCTGCTTCCCTCATTAATTACATATTAAATGGAATACTACCATTTCACCTCAACCTCTTTACCTGTAAATGAGTCAACATAAATTTGATATTTGACACTGTTTTGGTCTATGGTATATTTTTAAAAAGTGACAGACAAAAAAGACATTGTTAAATTAGAAGCCCTACAATTGAAAGAATAAAGTTGTAGGCAGCTTTAGAATTTTAGACTATTGTACTTGCCAAATGTGTGAAAGTAGGAATTCTGTGCAACTATATCTTAATGAAATTGATTTCTAGAAGTCACAGGGAAATTTGACAAGTTTGAGAGAACTTTTTTCCCCCTAGAGCAGGGCAGTCCGGGATTTCTGATCTGATAAGTAACCAGAAATGGAAGTGTGACATTCCCCAGAGTACAATCTGGACAACTGAACAGCTATGTCCCTTCAACCCTCCAACTTTCACACTGCTTTGCTGTGAGAACAGCCACTCCTGGCCTGTTCATTCACACACGGCCTAGTCACACATAGCCTATCACATGCAAAATCACTCCCAACTAAATGGTATGAGTACTTCTAGCCAGCCACTTCTAAATTACATTGCAGTGGCACCAGCAAATTCCCAGTTCCAGTCTTGTCCCCAGAAATGTTCATCTTGTACTGCCCAGTTGTATCCATTATGTTTCTAGAATATAGAGGGATACCCCGGCTTCTTTAGCAAGCTGCAGCACTGGCTTTTTAGTAGGAATTTCAGTCTCAGGAGACACAAGTGAGGTTCCCACTAGTGTCACTCTATTTCTGCAACAGAAAAAGCACAAATAACTCATTTGCTTAGTTTTATACAATACATAAAGCACCTGGCAGCAGTGATCTCTCCCGGCACCTGCTGCGACTCAGGACTTGGATTCGCTTGCTATTGCCAGTTGGCTTATTTTTATAAATTGCTTATCAAAAACTCATAATGAAACTGCTCTGTTTACTGATAGAGTATATTCAAATAAGAATACGCTACATTTTGGGGAATTTATTGAATTCTATTAATTTTTTATCCTCAAATCTTCGAATTAAAATTCTTTCAAATATACCCCCAAATCCTGTACATGTCCATGTATGGTATTAGTCAGATGGAGCTCATAAAACTATGACAGGTAAATCAAATCACAGGCCTTCCTGCAAATGTAGAGGCTAGACAATTTTAAATAGGTGAAGGCACTATCCTCTAGAGGAAAGTTTATAAAACCCACTCATTTTGTAAACCTAGAAATTGGATTTATCTGATTGCCTACAGTTAAATGAGTTAGTGTAATTCTTTGCGAGAATTTTTATTCTGAAAGCAGTGTAATTGTGGGCAGAAAAATGAGTGTATAACAATATCACCTTTTGATTCAATAGATCTGCTCCCTACATTGTGTTCTGTCATAGCTGCTTCTTTCATGATAAAATATTTTTTTCTACTCTACATTTAGTAACACTTATTTCCCATAGCTCTCTTGGTTCTGGAGCTTGATTTCTACTCTTGCTCTCACATCTTCAACAAAACAATTTGGACCAAATTTTACCTTCATTTACACCTGTTCAACCTTAATTGAAGATAAAGGGGTTATATAGGTGTAACAGGTGGACAATTTGGCTTTTATTGTATTTATTACCAATAGTGATACACAAACCATACAAAATTCAGCTTGACTTTTAGATCCCAGTTTGTGTTGGCAGGGCTAGTGATTTGGGGGGGAAATCTTTTAAACTGGTAAAGTGAGCAGACTCTGTCTGGAGGTGATTGAGACAGATATGGAAAGCTATGATGCCACTTGTACAGAAACAGTTTTCAGAGTGGAATCATACCTTATGGGAACACTTTAAATGCCACATGCAATTTCTAAAAGGAGTGTCATCCTGCCCCTCTTTTCAATAAAAAATCCTGGAATACCTGTAAATCCCTAACTGTTTGAAAATAGCATCATTTTTATTAAATAATAGTCAATAGTCATGTTTTGGCTGAAGATGGTACTGCATTGCACTCACATTTGGCAAAATATTGAGACAATATTTAATTTTATTGTCTTAAAGTAATTTTTCATCAATAACGGGTATGCTGTTATCTCTTAAGTTATCAATTCTCTATTCATAGATACTCAATTTTTCAGCCTTTTATCAGTGCTGATTAAGATGTTTTGAGATACAGTGGAAAAGGAGTAATTTCACCACATCTAAATATTGGGCATATTGATTGCATAAATTAAAAAGTGAAAATACTGTATTTGGAAGTCTGAGAGATCTGGTTACTTCCAATTTACTGATGTTTTGCTACTTTCTCTTCAAGAGTAGACTGATTTAAATACTTACAGCAGGAATGCATCTCCTCATAAGCAGCTATATTATTTCTTATACAGCAGCATGCAACTGTTATAGTAAGTTTTATAATCACATACCCGATTTACATATTTATGGGAATTTTCTTGGCTAAAATCTTAAATCTGGTATCCTATGACATTCAGTTCTACAAATTGTTGGCCTCATACCTGACATAACTAGCTCATGTAAAAAGCTAAACTTTTGCAAATTAATACTTCTAATTTACACCTAAAGGCACTTGAATGGTTGAAATCTTAAAACTGAAAAACTTTGTGACCTGTGATGGAAAGATCAAACTAAAATGTTTGGAGTCCATAATGAGTGACTGTACAAAATTTTAGTATTCTAGCTCAGTGACCTATGGGAGGAACTTTTATTTAAGTGACATGTAACAAGTATTTGTATTATATTAGATGAGAAGCTTTGCTGTAAATTAGATGCTAGTTGTTTTTTTATACTGATCCATGCTGACTGGTTATCGTTCTTATTGGCAGGTGGAGATAGAAAATAACCGAAGTTCAGGGTGACATCCTTTTTTTGTCATGACATTGTAACCTCTGCTTTGTCAGCTTCAAATGTCTTTTGTCTCCTGCAGAAGTAACCCATCAGCATTTTTCGGTGTGGGATTTTCTGTTCACTTGTAGCTGGTCTAGAGTTCTAGAAGTGCAATTTGTGAAATCATTTCAGGAGAAACTATTATTGTGTGAATGAAGATAAACAAGTTTAGGAACTAAAGCTCTGGTATTTGAGCATTTATACTGGTAAAAGTTGTTTATTTTTGCACTAGAAAATCTTCCGACTTCCTATTTAATTTAGACAAAGGTATGAATATATTCAATGCAAGCGCTAACTATCCCTTGGAAAAGTCTGCTAATTTAGGGCAGAGGGCATACCTCATCTTTGAAAGAACTGTGTCTGTTACTCTGTCAGACTGAAGATCACATTATGACCCTAAATGCTTTGTTTAATCCTTGGTACTGGTAATAAAATTCTGTTGCCAGCAGCCATCTATGCAGTCATTTAAAATTAAGTTTCAGTACTGAGCAACAATATGCCAGGACAAATCCTATTGTTAGTGATTTGATTTTTCTTGCCAGCATAAATTGGAATAACCTGTATATTTTTAACTTGCTAGCATGTGACTTTGAACTGTGCTATTTGTACAGTACCGTGATCCTGGGTATAATTTTTAATATCTGTCTGAAACGCTAGATAATGATTTCGGTTTGATTTCTTGGATTCTTCGTTCCGTGTTCTAGAAAATTAGGAACTCAAATAATGTACAATTTAGAGATGGTTTTGTGTTCTAGTTTAACTGAATTAGACTGCATACTATACTGATGCCTTTATAATGCTTTCTAGCTCTTCGTATATGCTATCACTGTTGACCCACTATTTCCACCTTTGATATTCTTTTATTTTCTGTTTCCAGGTGAAGTAAGAGCTGCAGAAGAAGACCAGTATAGCTTGCAATAATGCCATTCCCCTTTGGCAAGTCCCACAAGTCTCCTGCAGACATAGTGAAGAATCTGAAGGAGAGTATGGCAGTTTTAGAAAAGCAAGATATCTCTGACAAAAAGGCAGAAAAGGTATATTTATGACACTTTTTATGGGGTTTAATCTTTTGCTAGTGAAATATTAAACTTTAATTTTGGGAGGGAAAACAGAATTTACAGGATTTATAAATTAACATATGTGAACTAAATAGAAATATTTTGATTTCCCTTCACACACTAAAGATGAAGAAAAGTTGTATATTTTGTTAAACTGGTGCTTTGATCTTTGTTGACCTTGGATTCTTCTGCCTTTGGCCACTGATATGTTTAGAATTAACTTCTCTGTAAGCAAACAACTTAGAAGGAATTAATTCTCTATGGATCTAATTTTAATGGAAAAAAGATATACAGCTGTTGACTATCAATAGCAACCCTTGCACATAAGGGGAAAATTCCATATTGGTGACCTAACACCCGCGGACATTGAGCAAAGACCATTACCCTGAAGCCACTCGAGGAATACGCATATGGTACCAGAATACAAATAATAATGGCCTGGATATTAAAGAAAACTTCATTTGAAGTAGTGAATGTTTAGTCTAGAAGTACACCAATACCTCTACATGAGAATCTTTGTTAGGCAACCTTCTGTGTTAAGAAACTGTTCCAAAGTACCCCCCAACATATGAAATGCAATTCTACAATTTTATAAATTTTATAATATTACCTTCATTAAGCAACCAGTTGTTGTCAGTTCTTTGAACTTATCACATAAGACAAGTTTCATTGCATCTTCTTTATTAAATGACTCCTGTGGAAGATCCTCCCTAAGACCCATGTCTCCTACAAGAAACCAGCCAACAAGTAATGGTTATGTTGTGCATCAGTCTGCAGTAGTGTTTTTTATTTGTTTCAAATAAAGTTTATGATTTAGAACTGCCAGGACTGATCAGGTAATAACTCTGACCCATGTAGTGACCTGATCTTTATCATTACTCTTGTCCTCTTTCCCTGTTTCTCTTATTACATCTTGTTACAGATTATATTGTGAACATTTTGATGCAGGAACCATGTGTTTGTACAACACCAAACACAGTGGGTTTCTAATCCTTATTTTTGGAGCCTTTGGGGTGCTACTTCAGTGGCAATACATTAATAATAAACAATGGTAAAAAGTATCTGCAGGTCTCTTGGTGAGATGAATAGTATAGGAGGCACATACAGTTCAATAGTGGATGGAATGAAGTGTTAATTAAAAATTTCATCATAGTGTAAGAGAAGGATTAGTGTGTTTTCCTAATTAGTGTTCAGCCTGCATGGTTTGAGAATTTTCTTTTTTCCAAAACAACTGCCGAAGGACAAGGCTACCTGGGAAAATATGGATAAGCCATCAGCCACCTAAATATAACTGCTTACGGAAATACTCTCAAGGAAGGTACAAGAACCATTTGGCCTTCCCTATATAATGCTGGTGCAAGAAGTTCATCTGCAAAGACCTTAACTTGAAAGAGGCAGTAAGTGAGTGGGTAATATTCTGCAGAGGGATCCAGCATTTAAAAACAGTAAAACTCACAAATCCCAAAGCCAAGATGACATTTAAAATGTTCTGCAAGCCAGCTTGCAAACAAAGGTGTAAATCAGCATGCAGTTTTTACTGCTCTGTACGTCAAAATACACATTTTGTTATCGTGGCTAATACAGGATATTGTGGCGCATTCTTGATGGGAAGTGTGAAGTAAATCTGGAAATTTTTACAAAGAGGATGTAGTGGTTGGATATTCTTTGTTGATTAAGAGATCTCAGAATATATTTGCTCAGAGCATCCATACTTTCAAATTCCAGATCTTTTAATTTAAAAAAAAAAAGGTAAATTTGTTCTGTGTACAAATAGTATTCTGGGTAGTGGAAGTCCCTCAAACACATAGTAGAGTTAGATGCTGACTGATCTTTCATTAGAATGATTCATAGCCTTTAAACTCATATAATGGATGTACATTAATTTCTCAATGGTAACCTAAAGAAAATAATGTGATTACAGTTTACCTCAGTCACTAGTACTATGAGTTTATTTAAACTTTCTATAACCAGAGTATAAACATTTTCAGGTAGAAACAACAAATTGTTTGGATGTGAAACTCGAAACTTGGGGCCTCTTCAGTGGGACTGATGTGTAAAGATATTTATGTTTAAAGTTATACATATGCTGCCTTAAATGCTCACAGAATCAAAGCCTTGATGCATACACACTGTATCCCTGATTATAGAATGTGTAGTACACTGAATTTAGAAAAAAAAATTAATTGAAAAATAAGCTGTAGGTGTTATCTGCGGATACAAATCAAAGGGGCATTCATTCACTCAGATTATTTTAAATTTTGTATGTTTTTCAGGATATAAAGTACTGGCTTTCAAATCCACATTATACTAAACAGATAATTGTCCTCCCTCTGCAATATTCCCTCTCTGGACTCAGTGACACCAAGACACACTTTTCTCCTGCAACATATTGCTGTAGTTCTTGAGGTCACTCACTCACTTCTAAATATTCAAAGTGAGGATATAAAGGGCTCAAGGTCACAAGCACACTTAATTCCTTTCCTTATTCTCTCATTACTATGCCTTTTCCCTGTTGGTAGTTTTAGCTTAATTTTTTAATGATTTAGTCTATTTTTAACAAAAATATTTTATTGGCAATATGCTTAGTGTAACTGTGTAGTTTAACTTATGGATCTGAAACATGGTGGATCACAACTGAAATTGCCTCATGAGGTAAGACAAGGCCGGTAACAAACAGTAGGAGGAAACTGCGGAGGGCACACTTTAAAGTTACATAGGTGACTCATATAAACATGTAGGTATTTTGTTGCACAACCCAAACATCACCGTTTGGTTGATTTCTTGTAGATGCCATATGTATTCAAGCATTATGCCTCCTGTCCAGTGGAAAAAAGTTGATGAATGCACATTTACTGTCTGAAATGTCTGGGACAAGAGCATTCACCAAGAGACTTTTCAGAATAGGTTAGCTTTATCCTGTGGGCCCACCTGGGACAAACATATAGGCTAATGATCTTGAAAGCCCACTCTCTCGCCTCTGAATCTGAGACTAATTATGCTTGGTTTGAAAACAAGACATTTGAAAATCTAAGGAGTCAGGTCCCTGTGGATTTGTGTTAGATTATACTGCCCAAATAATTGTATCCCCAAAAAGGCAACAGTTGTAGAGCTGTTTCCTCTGCCATCCTGGAGAAGCGAAGGCAGTGTACCATTGCCAGGGACTCCAGTGATGCATCATAAGAGATGTAGTCTGGCTAGGGAATCATGCTTATAGAGGAGAACTGGGGACATAAAGCACTACAGCAGCATTTCCAAATGGAAATATTTTGGTTTTCATTGAAAAATTGAATTTTTTTGCAGAAAGCAGTTACTTTTTGTAGAAAAAAAATCATTTGGTTGAAACCCTGTTTTCCCTAGAAGACCAATTTTGATGGAAAACTTTTGACCCAGCCCTACATATGGACAATATGCTTCTTTTTTGTGTTGGCCTATTTCAGCCTGTATTGAAAAAAGTGTTTGTGCACATCTACATCTTGATATTTATTCATCTTCATTTGTAAGACCTAGACACTAGTTTTCATCCTCTCTGCAACATAATCTTCCAATTACCCTTTTAAAAGATCAACACCCCTACTTCAAGATGAATGGAAGCTGGTTATCTCAACATGTATCATGGAAGATTGACCTCTCAAGAGGGGGGGGAAAAGGCTTATTTTTCCCCCTTAGTTATTTCTGGAAGGTAGTTCACCATATCATAGTTCCTAATTCTATGCTACCAAAGGGGTAGCAAAATCACATCTCTTCCAGATTTCCAAGCTAGTACTATTTTTACCCTCTTTCTCTGTGTTTATCTTTTCTTTTGCTCCACTTTTTACTCTTCTTGCTCCGTTTAGGGACCTGCATAAATAATCTGCCAAATAGCCATAATGAACACAGGTTGAGCAGTGTGTCCATTGTATTAGTGTTGATTATTTGTGATGTAAAGGATATCCTTATCCCTCCAGGATAAGTGAATTTTTGTTTGTTTTTAAATACTTGCTTTTTCTGCACTTGTTTACCTTTCTTAAAATTAAGTACGTGCAATTTCATATTTTGCCAACACTTGGCCATGTGTAATTTAAAATGTTATCTAAAGATTACACAGTGCAGTATAATAGAACTGGTTTGTTGTGAAGACAAAGGGTAGCCCTGCCTTTTTAATGGATTGCAGTCTGAAAATTTCAGTTCTGGTTAAAATGAACCTATGCTTATAGGGAAAATTTGTGGAAGAAAAGTTTTTGCAGTACAAAGGAATTCCACTGTAAATGCACTTATTCTCTTCAACTCTTATGGCTGAGACTCCAAACACACAAGTTTGAACATTTCTGATATAGTACTGTATTAGCATAGTTTTTGTATTTAATATGTAGCTTATAATATTTCCCATGGAGCAGTAGCAGAAAATCATATTACTGTTACTATGACATCATATAATCCTGTTACTATTCTGATACACCATTTAATAAATTGTTGCTCTTGGAATGTAGAATTGTAAAGAGAAAATTTGAATAGAAGTTTTTTCAACTTTAAAAGATAACCCTGACATTCCATTAGGAAGGTGATTTATCTTTATAACGCACTTCGTCTCTTTCCATCTTCTGAGAGTGAAAGAAAGGCAGATTATAAGATGCTGGACAGTGTATGCACACATTCACACAAAGCACGTGCTACATGATCAGCATGGAAGACATTTTGTGAGATACAAATACATGAGATGTTAGAGATTATGGCACATCTTTTTCAGTTATACAAGAGTAGTCTCCCTAGTACCTGAACAAAATCTGTTTATTACAGCTCAGAGTTCAATTGGTTTTTTTTTTTTTTAAGGTTACACAATTTATTTCTCCATAGTTTATTTCTGAATGTTTTATAGATTTGCAGTACATACTAGAAGACTAAAAATTAGCTAATTGGACACTAAATCTTTTGAAAAGGAAGCTGACACTACCTGTCTTGACACTTTATTTGGTTTTCGTCTACTCTGATTTCATGTGCTT